CTTAGAACACACCTTCGGGAGATTGCTATACTCGTCAAACGAGGGATCCTCATCTGGATAAATCCGAATTGAGGAGGGAAATGAATAGTCAGCAGCAAGCTCAACACACGCCCGAGCAAACCCTAACTGACCTCCCACTCTCGTCTTCTGATCCATCCAAAACGGCCTCCCAATCATGCTCGTCACCCACTCCAACCCTTCCGGAGCAAGGTATTCTAGTGGAAGGCCCCAGATTCTTACCCAGATTGGCAACGTTTCAATTTTAGGAACAATCGGTTGTATGCCTGATTTTCATTTTTGAAAGAAAATAGGATTACCTCTGAAATGCCAAGGCCCTGACTGGAAAACCCAATTGCACGCAGTAGCAGAAGGAAACTGAAACACCAGGAGCTTGTTCCCGAACTTCGACACTCGGACAATGCAATCTCGCCCCCAGAGAGCGTTCGCCCATGACTGCAGCTCTGGTATTTTTGGCATAGTCCCAACGAACTGACCAATAAGCGAATTCTTCCACCGCTCCGCTCCCTTCTCCTTCACCTCTTTCGGAAGGCGGAATCCATCTTGGAATTTGATCGGCGACCGATATTGGAGCCGATTCTCTAGGGCAAACTCGAACAGCTGCACCCAGGAACTGCCCTGCCAGCCGGAGCAACCAACGGCAAGGCTAACATCGGAAACCCTAAAAACCAGAGAGAAGAGAGAGGGGAGAGAGAAGGAGAGTCGTTAACAATTTTTGTCATTGAAGACGAGATTACTAGGATTACAACGAGACTTTTACATAATTGAAAAAATTCAATCAAACACTCGACCAGTAGGGTCATGACAAACATTCATGCAAAAAGTTGTGCATTTCATTAATACTCGACCCTATGATGACACTAAAATTATAGTATTTATCACTCTCATATTCGATACATTTTCTCCTTGTATCAATGCATCTTGAGTATATATTACCTGATTTCATATGAATATCATAACTATTTGATCAATTTGTCTAAGATAGACATTCAGTATGTTTTTGTACTATTTTACGTCTTTTGGTGTTGTTTTGTGTTTTTCAAAGATATAATACACTCAAGATGAATAAGGATCATCAATGGATCTGAAGCAGGATTAGATTACAAGCTCCTGGGCTCAAACAAAGATGAATTTGGAGTCCAAATGCTCACTTTATGGCCTAGAGAAACCATGGTTCAGGAAACCGTACCAGACATCATACTGGATTCCTTTATGGTAGGGTATTTTGTGGTATGATCATGGTTCAATCATTTCGTACCAGTAAATACCGTTATTGTAGTAATAAAAACATTTTTTGGTCAAAAAATCGTACCACCAAAACGTGATATCCTTCCGGAATAATACCGGGATAAAACCAGAAATATCGGACGGACCAGAGAAGAAGCCAAACGTTGTTGTACTGGTGCAGCTCTAGTGAAAGCTTACACACTACGAAATTGTTATTTTTTACCATATCACTAATTTAAATTTATCCATCCTTCAATTTTTCCCCCTTTCTATCTGTCCCACCCACATGCCTCCCACTCTCTCCAGTCTCCAATCCTCTTTTCTTTCCTTTCAATCTGTCCCTCACGCCTCCCACTCTCTTCCCCTCAGTTTATTTTTCCTTTGTCTTCTATTTCTCACAAGCAAAAAAAAGGGTTCTTCTAGTGCTCCCCTTAACCATCCATATCTGATCTCCTGATCCCTCCTCTTTTCTTACCAACAAACAACCTGCGGGGGCCAACTCGGCAGATAGAGACAGATAGCCAGGAGAGATCGAGAGAGTCGACAGATGGAGCCGGTTAGCCAGAGAGTGGAGCATAGAAGCGATTGGGCTACCTAGAGCTTAAGGACGGTATCGAGAACCAGAAGCTAGCGTCGGAGAATGAGAATCCTTGGGCGAAGACCAGAAACCTAGAAACTAGAGGCGAAGAACAGGCACGAGAAACAAAATACATTCTTTGACCGGTCGGATCAAAATCGGCCAATATTTTGCGGCAGACCGGTTCGACCTAAAAACGGTCGATACGATATCTCTGCCACAGCACACCTATCGTTTCGTTTCTGGATCGGTTTTTGGTTTTACCGGTTGAACCGGCCGGTACGATCTGGTTTCCTGTTCCATGAGAGAAACATATTTGACAGTGTAGCAGGCTTACCTTTGACGAAGTTCAAAGTGGGTCAAACGAATTCCAAATGAGCTGAAATTTGGTATGTATCCCATGGACAAATTAAGAAACAAACCATTTGTCTCATACACTATGGGGAATTTAGTCCACTTGGAGACAATAAGTCCTAAAAAGAAGTGCAAATTGGTGATGTCATGCTCCAAACGCGGCCAAATTTGGTAGGGAGATACTTGGGACCTTCTAGAAGCAACAAACTGAATTTTAACGCAATCCAAGTACGGGAAGTATACAACTTTTTTTCGAAGACTTACTTAAGAAATTATAAATTTAGTATAAATAGAGGCTTAACCTAAGAGTTTTAGACACACATTATACCACCACTCTGCCCTACGGTCGTGAGTTAGAAATTCAGAGAGAGGAGGCAAAGTTCTGCTGGAATTCAATGAGGGCCGATGTTGCACCATCAATGCTCTTCATCATTAGTGATGTCTTCCTATTCTCTTATGCGTACTAGCTCTGTATTGTATAGAGATGTGAATTCTTTGATGTTTTATGAATATACTTTCTATGATTTAGTAAGATGCTTATTTAATTCAATGCTCATTTCGTTGAAGATTGTATCATTAGATGCTTTATTGGATGCATACTTTAATCATCTCTTGCTTATTTCATTGATGCTCTGTATCATCTAACGCTTTAACTACTCTATGATTTATCATATATTATGTCCAATTATAGCATTGCTTATAATATCATTGTATATTGCATGAGAAATCCAAATTATGTTATTTCATTGTCTTAGGCGTGTATGGTATAGATTGATCACTCATCTATACTCGACTATGTTTAATGCTTGATACCTTAGATCATCAAAGTTATAGACAATCACTATGGTTCTCATAGGCCCTAAAAACTGATGTGCTATTCATACTTCCTTGATTGATAGTCTAGTGGCATGAAGAAAAAGCACGCATGAGTTAATCACAATTCCTATTGCATGAGGTGAAAACTCGAATATGATGACCTTAGTAGGGATAAGGTTACATGATAGAAGGTGCATAACTACATCTTATTAATGATATTGTATGCATGATCATCTAGATAACACTACCTAAACAATAGCTTTTACCCTTGCGTCTTTCATTTATTTCATTCTTGTTTAGCTAAAGATTGTATCTCGAACACTAAAAAGCACCTCAACCTAATCGAATTTGCTTTTACTCGCATTGTTATCTCAAGCACAAATTATTAGGTTTGACTAGTCACTATAAAAAGACCTTGTCAAATATGACCTTAGTTTCGTATAGGATTTATTGCTTGCTTGCTTTACTACGCATCACTCTATCGTCTCTTAGCCATGAAGTTAATGTTGGTAAATCAGAATACGGTGGAAACTGTTATGTATTATTACTGGAACCACATAGGGTTTATATAGAGTACAGAGACTGAAATCTATAATAAACCTAATACTAATACGAAAATTACCTAATTTCTACGACTCTGATAAGGAATATAACTCTGCTCAATTACATAATAGGACTCGTAGTATAACATAATAATACTCGTACTACCTATTCTCTAATACCCTCCCCCAAATTGATGGTAATTACTTACCAACAATTTGAAAACCGAAACAAAAAACTAACACAAAAAGGAAAAAAATCTAAAACTATGACACTAATAACTGCTACTTATCCCAAACTTCTCGCCGATGTTGAAGAAGACCACTCCTCACGAAGACGTTGATGGTGATGAACTGGATGTAACGAGATCTCTTGCCAAAACTGCCTTCTCATACTTGTCCTCCAAAGATGCTAGAGAAATTTGCTATCACGAAAACAAACCAAAGATGCTCCGAACAACATCGTCGAACCAATACAGAACCATGTATACTCCGAACAACAACATAGCTATCAAGATGCTCCGAATAGCATCGTCAAAACAGAAACTTAACCATGTGCTCTGAACAGCAGCATGGCGATCAGGATGCTCCATGCAGCATCACCAAAACGGAAAAACATACCAGAAATGCTCCGGACAACATTTATCAAACAGAGATGTTTCGTACAACATCTTTAACCAAGGTGTTCCGAACAACACCGTAAAACAGAACCAACCAAAGCAAAAATCTGAATTTCTTGAAGGACACGTTGAAAAGGCAGGTCGAGAGAGAGGCTTACTGAAGGGTAGCTATGGGAACACGTTCGAGTATTATTATGTTATACTACGAGTACTATTATGTAATTGAGCATAGTTATATTCCTTATCAGAGTCGTAGAAGTTAGGTAACTTCCGTATTAGTATTAGGTTTATTATAGATTTCGGTCTCTGTACTCTATATAAACCCTATGTGGTTCCAGTAATAATACATAACAGTTTCCACCGTAAAAAAAAACTAAATTTCTTGAAGGACACGTTGAAAAGGCAGGTCGAGAGAGAGGCTTACTGAAGGGTAGCTATGGGAGCACATTTCAATCTCCACCATGACCAGTTTGCCGTGAAAGTAAATCCCTTCTTCGTTCCGTTCCGCAATCGATTCGTTCCCCAGTCGAGAAAGAACTTGTGAGCTGGAGAAAGGGAAGGCATCATCAGTTATTCTTCGACAGGGAGTTCGTGCTCTGGAACCCAGACGCAGAGAACCCAAATGGCGGCTGTAAATTGACGTTGAATCCTTCGCCGAATAATTACGCACACCTATTTAACACCCCTGCAAATCTGACGAAACCTCCATTTTAGGCGCGACAATGGTCGTCCAACCGAGCACGACCAATTTTGCCTCACTTGCCCACTCGCAACTCCACAAATCCATATATCTTGTCATTGTGGCTAGCCATGTAATACTTAAAGCACATAGTCATTCTATTCTAGTCACTAGTAATTGGTCCCCTTCAGGCCCGAAACTCCAAGTACACCATCAAATCCTTGTAAGGACAAGACAAATAGGTCAACAGTTACCTCTAATTCATGTACAATCAAAGGAGCAACTTGGTATTGTTGTCTGCATTTCAAGACGTGCATCCAACTGGAGTCCACCTCCGCATTGAACCGAAGGATGGTCGAAGATGCGACCTCGACCAACAAATGCACAGAGATGATCGTTGACCTCTCTGTGCCCTTAGCCTCGCCTTCCACCTTATCTACGCCGCTCGTCGTCGTTTTCGATCCTCGACTCATCAACAGATTGGTGCTCAGCGTGGCCGTGTGCGATGTCCAACAACAATATCCGTACTTGCATGAGGCATCAAAGTAGTACAAATGGATTTGCTCTAACTGGGAAATTTCAAGCACGTAGAATGAAACCTTTTTGAGCTTTCCATGCATTCAGATTTCGTCCTAGGGATGAAAATAGGCTGGATATGGGACATGGGACGTATAATGGCTATCCATTACCTTATCCTGACTGGTTTGGGTTTTATCCATTGCAAGATTTGAGTAGAAAATTAAAATCATCTCATACCCAATGGATAATATTTTCCTTTTTATCTTCTCAACAATTTTGCAATCCCTATCCCGGCCCTTAGAATTTAGAATGAGCTCATGGCCGGACTTGGTTTGATTAGTCACCGTTGTCGAGATACTCTCATAATAGAGGTGGAACATTTGGCTTGATCCCTGACAGAACATTTACAAGTACGAAGAGCAAAGATGAGGATCTGACGTTCATTTATCAATTTTACAGCAATTTAAAGGCAAAACACAAAAAAACTACAAGTTACGTCAGTGTCCACTTTTCACTAGTCCCAGAACCTTAATCTCTGCCATACCTAGTCTGTCTTCCGTTCACATCCCTAAAGCCCTTTCCTCAAACCTCACAGGTACCCTTTAAAGAGACGGAGTGCATAAAACATCAATCTCCAGTCCATCTCCAAGTCTGACCATCTACTTAAGAGAGTTGAGAGGCAACAGAAGTATAGGCAAGGTCAACTTCTTCTTCAGTCATCTCGATAGTGTCATCGCTGTCATACCCGGGACTAGATCTCTCGTTACGGTTGTGGTGGCCTGTACTGTTCTTTACCCCTTTGTTATTTGTCTTTGAATCACCATCTAAACTACTGAAAGCTGCCTCATAAGCTTCTTTAAATTCTTTAGCTTGTCTGCAAATGTCTTCCTTTGGGTAAGCGGCTGAACCATTTGTATTACCTAAAAGCTTTAACAGCTCCTCAAGTGCCCGCGGCACGACATTCCACTGATTTGCAATCTTGCGGACATCCTAAGCCAAAGCAATTTTGTTGAAGGATGTATATCTGAATCTGAGTAAGGTGATTATAGAGAACAATTGTGTGGTAACCATATATACCTGATCTTCCTCGAGGGAATCAATAGCATCTTGTAAGCAAATTATGACCCCTTCTGCAGCTATTTGTCTGATCTCGCTTGGCTCAGGCTGTTTTCAAGCAAGAAACAAAGTTAGGTGGGCAAGTCGGATTGCTAATGCATCATAATGCCAACAGTCATTTATTGCTTTTGCTTTGGCTTCCAACATATTCCAACAGATTGCTTCATTCTCAAGCATTCGTCTAAATTTAATGAAATGAAGGATCAAAGCCTAGAAAAAACACAGCAGTGCACAAACAAACTCGCCAAATGTTCAGGATTTGGAGGTGCTACTTAATGCTGCAAGTTTGAAGTAAAGCCTAGAAGATCACGTCAAGGAGCAGTAAAGAAACAAACTACCCAAATATTTAGGATTTGGAGGTGCTACTTAATGGTGCACGGTAGAAGTAAATGAATATACAATTATCAAATATATTAACACAAGGAGAAGAATCGAACTTACTTTTTCATCTTGAGTCTCTAGCCATGAGATGGTTTTGTTCAGATCGTCAATTGCCCACTTCTTCGCTTCAGGGCCAGAAAACTGCTTCTTAGTAGTCTTAGGAGCCTTAGTCTGCTGATCAATATGGCAATGTGTTAAGTATTTGACGACTGCAGGTAGTACTACTAGGAAAAATGATCAGACATGTAAGGTTGATCTTTTGTACCTACTCTAAGTTCAACAATGGGTAACCCAATGAGAGAAAAAAGACGAAAAAGAAAACAACAGAAATCTCACTTCGGTACTAGAACATACACAAAGAAACTAACATTTGATTTTCCTGAGGCAATTGGCCCTGAGTGTGATAGAGTTTCAGATTCTTTTGCACGTTTTCTGGACGGAGATTCCTTTCCTGCAAGAACACCTTGCATCAGAGGCTGTAACTTAATATCCACTGTGAAGCTGAGAATGACTGGTGAAAGTAGAACAGCATGCATCAAGCTTTTGATATTAACTGGAGAATTACTACATGGCTTGACCTATATGACGTCGGATATATAGCTAATGAAGGAAGCGCATGTCAAGTTACAGGGTGGAATTGTTGTTCTTTAACCATTACCAAAGGAAAGGTCAGTTAAGTGCATGTTTCAACTACAACATTCCATCTGCAATTTATCACCATTGACCATTATCAAAGCGAAGCATTCATGATTACAAAAAACAAACATTACCATTGTTTATCCTTTCATCAGAAGCCCGACCCTTTCGCCATGGCTTCCCTGGATGCATGAGGTAACTATCGATTTCGACCAGCCTCTTCTGGCTGTAACACTCTAATATCCACTCCTGAGGCATAGAACAGTTAACCTCACACTCAGCAAGAAGTACAAAGCGAAAGAATCACATTGCAGACAGACTCCAAACAATATAACCATTCGAAAAAGCAATAGTCTGTTTCCAGGACACATGCATGTCAAAAGGTTCAATTCTGATTCAAATCAGAGAATGACCAACAGGGAATTGCGGCAGGCGATCAAAGAACACGATGGGGAAGAGAATATGACAATGGGGGAGTTATTACCTTCCTGACAATCGTCCCACAATCGGCCTCAACTTGTCGAAACTTGGGAGTATTCGAATAAGCACAGACCAAAAGCGTGCAATCTGAGCCCCAATCAGGTCGATACTCGGCTCCCATGTCCAGAGCATTGGACCGTAATGTAGCGCGCTCTGGATTAACAAACCCGGACAACACGAACACAACCCCTTCCTACCGCGACAGATTAACAAGAGAACAAAAGATACGAATTTGTTCAATTTGCCCAGATTATGGGCAGTAAAAATAAGGAGAGGAAGGATCAAGTTTTGAGAACAATGTTCCTACCAAAAGCTTGGAGAATGCTGGCGTACTTGAACTGGGTCCGGCGGATCCTTTGGTGGGTAGGTCTCGGTTGGAAGGGCTTCCGACGTCTTCTTTGTCCCGGGTTTCTTCCTGATTTCTACCGCCGGTTTTAGGGTTCTTCCGAGCGTTTCTACCGGCGGCAACGTTATTGTCGTCTGAATTCATCCAGGAAGGTAAACTTCGCTTGTTACCTCCGCCGCTGTCTTTAGAACTATTCATTGTCGATCACTCGTTATTTGGAGTCTGAGGAAACGGCGAGTCGCTATCTTGGGTCGGAGTTTGGAGCTCTCCTTTTCAATTCAGCTGCGCCGTCCACCGTTCTCTGTGTTTGCTCTAGCTGTTGCGCACTTGCGCTGCGCTCGGTCTGCCTGAGTGACTGTTTCTCTCAGTCCCGGTCTCTTTCCGCTGCCTTTCTCAATACAAAGAATAAAATTTAAAATTGATTCATTTTTGACAAATAAGTGGACGTGCCGGAGTGGTTATCGGGCATGACTAGAAATCATGTGGGCTTTGCCCGCGCAGGTTCGAATCCTGCCGTTCACGTTTTTTATTTTATTTTTATAAGTAAGGTTGTTAATGTCATGTCATTTAGCTCGTTGACCCGACCGAGCAAGTGGGTTAGCGATTAAAATAAAATACTGTACGGGTAAGTTACATATAAAATATGATAAGTTTAATGAGTAATTAACTAATGGGTTAATTGCATGGTTGGTCACTGAGATTACAAAAATCGTTCAAGTTTGGTCACTCGAAATATTTAAATCCATTGGTGGTACTTCAGTTTACTGAAACCGTTCACGTTTGATCACTCTCCGTCCAACTCCGTTAACTTTTGCTTACGTGGCAGTCAACTCTAAAAGTTGACCGTTAAATGTGTGACGTGGCAATTAAATAAATAATTAAATAAATAAAATTTAATTTTTTAAAATTTCCACCTCATTTCTAACTATTAAAAGGATAAAATAAAATTAAAAATTATTAAAATTAAAAACGAACGATGAATCCTCTCTCCTGTTCTCCGCCGCAGCATTCTTGGCCACAAACGATGGTGGTTGCTGTCGTTCCCGCTCGGATAAACCCTCTGAAGCCGAAACCAACGCCGCAAAAGTACCAGAACCCTACCAGGCCTCCTCCTCCCATGTTGTTGCTGTCGGACCCTTTGGCGGTGGTGGTGGCAAATTTCTTGACGACTTCAGACTGTTTCCATTCCACAACATACGTAATCTAAGAAATCCCAAAAACTTTCTCATTCCAATCGAGATGTTCATATATTTGGGTTAATACCCTAGTTTGGCCCGAAGTTTAGCGTTAGTGACAGTTCTGGCCCCATTTTTCAAATAAGACATTTGTGGCCTACTTTAGAAATTATTGGAAAAATTTGGCCCGAGAGACGGTTTGACTGTCAGAATTAACGGTCAACTATTTTCCCATCACTGACTCAGCATTTGCCACTGACTGGGCTTGTCCACATCATTTACAAATAAAATAAAATAAAACAAATAATAATAACAAATGAAAAAACTGAATTACAGAGAAGGGGTCACGTGGACCACTAGCTCTTCCCCTTATTCACTCCATCGTTTCTCCTTCCCCCAGTCGTTCCCGAGCGGCCGACGATTCTTCCGCCTCTCCTTCTTCTTCGCCAGCTCCAATCATCACCGCCCTCCCCTTGGGGTCAACCGCCAAGTACTGACCAGGAACTATCCTCCTGCATTTGGACTTCCCAAATGTCTCCGGGTGAACTTTATCAAACACACTCTTCTCCTTGTTGTACTTCAAAATCACAATCCTCCCGGAATCGGAACCAACGACGATTTAATCCTTCTAAGATCCAGTAAGTTTGAATTGAGCGAAAGAGCAAATAGCACCGAATATTTCGATGAAAAGAATGATTTGGAGCCTACCGGTGTCGTCGGGACGGAGGAGATCGAGAAGCTTTCCACGCGCAACGACGATCTCTTGGAACTTCCTGCCAGAGAAGCTTTCGTTAATGGCGGCCACCACACCGATGGGTCGCTGAGGTGTTATTCGGTGGGCAAGTGGAAGAAAATGGGAGGGGTGGGTGTTGATTTGCTCGGCCGCAGAAAGCAGGGAAGGGCTAGCAGCGGCGGGGGAAAATGGGAGTTGGAGGTGGCGGCGGGTGAAAGTGGGAGGTGGAGGTGGTCGCAGGGATGGGTGGGTGGTAGGGTTGAAAATGGAATGGGGGGATTAAGTGGGCTCCAAATTAATTTACTTGTTTTTCCATGTTTTTTTCATTTTAACATAAAAAAAATTATGTGCAAATGATGTGGCAGCCATGTTAGTGCCACCTCAGCACTGAATACTGAGTAACTGACGGAATAAATGTTTGACCGTCAGTTTTAACGGTCAACATAATTTCCGGGCCAAATTTGTCTAATAATTTCAAAAGTAGGCCATAAATGTCTTATTTGAAAAATGAGGCCAAAACTGTCACTAACGCTAAACTTCGGGCCAAACTAGGGTATTAACCCTAAATTATTTTAATTCTTCTTATTAAGAATTGGAGTTGAGAATTAACTAATTATTATCACCTGGGGAGGGTGGGGCAAAATGTGACGGTGTAATCGGCTGCGGTACAAGTGAAGGTACTTGTGGCGTCATCGTAGGCGTAGCTGTACGATTTAGGGCAAGCGCTCTTGAACACCAACGGCGAATTGTACGTTCCCCTGCAGCAATACTCTGGGTTCCCAAATGCATCGCAAGCGCTCCGTCAGGCAGCGCCGTCCTCCGATCTCAGCTTCGCTGGGTACTTCCGGTTCAATTCGGTGATGCACCCTGTGAATGAGCAGTCGCCGGAGCCGTTGCTGGCCTCCACAATCATCTGCAGGTTGTAGCCGTCGACAAGGCTGATGTCGTAGAAATCCTGGGAACCGGATCCGAGAGTGAACTCGGCTAAAGTGGCAGGGGCCTGGCGCCGGCCCCGTTGCATTCGATTTGGCCGGAACCGCAATCGGCGGTGGCGCAGGAACCTCTGCCAGAATTGTCGAAATCGCAGCCGGTTTGTCCCCAGAAACGGTCGGACCAGCCGGTGGGAGCTTGGAAGGAGCGGGAGGTGCCCTTGGGGAGTTCAAAGCATGTGCTGTCCAGTTTAGGCCTGGTAGGGTTCAGGTTTTGCGGCGTTGGCCTCGGCTTCAGAGGGTTTATTTCAGCGGGAACCCAACAATCACCGCCGTTTGTGACCAAGAACACGGCGGCGGAGAACATATATGTGAGAGGTTTTGCCGTTCGTTGTTAATTTTAATAATTAATAATTTTATTTTATCTTTTTAATAGTTAGAAATGAGGTGGAAATTTAAAGAGAATAAATTTTATTTATTTAATTATTTTTTAATTGCCACGTCACACATTTAATGGTCAACTTTTAGAGTTGACTGCCACGTAAGCAAAAGTTAACAGAATTGGACGGAGAGTGACCAAACGTGAACGGTTTCAGTAAACTGAAGTACCACCAATGGATTTAAATATTTCGAGTGACCAAACTTGAACGATTTTTGTAATCTCAGTGACCAACCTTGCAATTAACCCATTAACTAATTATCATAAACGGTCGCACAACTTGTCACTTAGTACAAAACGGTCACTCACGTTTAATTTTGCACGTTTCACTAAAACAAGTTTGGACGAATACCAAATCGATCATTCTTTCAATTCCATCCAAAAATCTGTTAACTTTGTCCAGTCAGCATGCCATGTCACTTAAAGTAGTAATAAAATAATCAATAACCAAAACCAATTAACCCAACAAATCCAAGCGAACACCGTAGGTCCTTACCCACGCACCCCTCGATGTTACCCTCATCTTCTTCCTATATGCACAAACAAAAGGTGAAATCCCACTTTGCCGAATTAAAACAGAGCAGCAACTCAATCAAGTATGCATTATCGCCATCATCTCCTCCGGTATATGCATAATCGCCACCTTTGGGCATTATCCCCAACATTATGCATCATCACATCCTTCATCATCATCGCATACACTACCCAATGCCATTGGTAGTCAACTAGTCATCGTCGCCATCAAAGCTTCAATTGACCGTGTCGGGTCTTTGCGGAGAGCCGAAGCTTCAATTGACTGTGGCGGGATTAACATGAAAGAAGGTGGTGGGGGAACTGTGAGGCCAAGGAAGCAAAGACTCATTGGAGGTAACCCAGAACCCAATGACGACACCCTTCTTCTTCTTTACGGGATAGGAGGATTCTGTGAGCGAAGGACGAACTACTTTCACGCTTCGAAAAGCAAATCGTCGAAGATGTTAGAGAGCGGCGATTTCAAGCTTCCTCCTTCTCCGATTACAATCTCCCACCAAAGCTTCTGGGTCTCATCGAGACAAATCGAGATTGTAGGAATTTAAGGGTTTCAAAGCTCCGAGTTTCTTCGACGAAGAAGAGAGGGGAAGGGATCTCTAAGCTGGGCTATTTTCGGCGGAGTGGAGCGGATCTCTCGGCGAGGTGATTTTCGGCGAAGGATTCAACGTCGATTTACAGCCGGCTCAGCCGCCATCTGGGTTCCAGAGCACGAACGCCCTGTCGAAGAATAACTGATGATGCCTTCCCTTTCTCTAGCCAGAAGCTCCGGTTAGAAGAACCCACCTCCGCTTCTTCCATTTTCTCCCAAAATTTGCAATTTTAGGACGAAGGGAGGGGAAGAAGATGGGCAATCGCCATTCCCAGCTCGGGATCTGTGGGCGGAAGACAACAAAGGGTTGAACCTTTGTGGTGGGTCGGATCAGTTGGTTTAATAGGTTTGATTTTTTTTTTTTTACTTATGACATGCTGACTGGACAAAGTTAACAGATTTTTGGATGGAATTGGATGGGATGACCGATTTGGTATTCGTTCAAATTTGTTTTACTGGAACGTGCAAAATTAAAATTTAGTGACCATTTTGTACTAAGTGACAAGTTGGGTTATCGTTTATGATAATTACCCTAAGTTTAATAGTATGTCAACAATTATAAAATATGTATAACTAATTATTTTAAAATAAGTTAATATATAAATAATAGTTAATGGCCCATTGAATTTTTGTACATTGTGTCCGTATGTGAATGAAAAAGCATGAGATCGTACACCCGCAAACAATACTGCTATGGCCCATTTGTTATTAGTAATCTCAATCCTTTTTTCCTAATCCGACATGAAAACTTCCTTCACGCACCTCAATAACGTGTTATACGGGTTTTATACGTGTTTATCACAAGAGTTGTAAAATAAACAGGAAAAATGAAACGACTTGACAATATTATGAATACAAAAATTTATACAGATATATATATACATATATTAAACATAGCATGTACCAACTATATTTGCAAGTGTATAGTGCCTACAATAGTTTGCTCCGAGAATTGCAGATCTTTTTCCAAGACCGCAGTGTTAGGGTATTGAAAGCACGCCATGAGCGCCACCGGTGGCCATGCTAGATCACACAACAAGACCGCCGGAATTCTCGCCTACCTCCTCCCCCACTCCACTCTCCAAACAATCTAAGATTGGTGGCGATACGTAGTTTACGGGAAAAGGGGTGATGTTAGTTGAACATGACCCTATAGGCTCTAACGGAATATCCACCTCCACGTCGGCATCGACTGCGAGGCAAGAGCCACCGAAAAACCAAGACCAAGATAAGGGAGCTACAACTCTGAGTATGCCACCGACCACCGCTCCGTCGTTGGTCCAAGTCTCGTACAAGGATAAAGTCACCTACAACCATGATGCAACATCCCAAAATCTCGAGGAAGAGGACGAGGAACCCGACTTGATGGATAGTGATGGGGAAGGGGAACCGGAATGTCCAAACGTTCGATTCTCTAGAGGTTTCAACTCTTGTCGCAGGCGTCGTTGGTGGTTGGCCATCATCGTTAGGGTTCTGGGGCATTCCTTCCCCTTTTTGTTTCTTCAACGCCGCACCCTCAATATGTGGGAGCGCACGAGACCTCTCATGGTGGCGGCACTTGGGCAGGGTCACTACTCGGCTAGGGTCACAACGGAGCATGATTATGAGAGGACACTTACTGGTGGACCATGGATGATTGAGGATCACTACGTCCTCACCCGGTCATGGCAACGAGGATTATCAAACAATGTAGATTTATCTCGTACCTTGGTTTGGGCACGTCTCCCAAAATTGTCGATGGATTACTACGATGAAGAGCTCCTCACCAACATTGGTAATTTTGTGGGTAAATGTGTGAAGATGGATGGAGCTACCAAACAAGCTACAAGAGGTCACTTTGCTCGGATATGTGTGGAGGTTGATTTAGCTAAGCCTCTTATATGCAAATACAGACTGGAAAGAAGGACAAGGCGAATTGAGTTTGAAGGCCTACACAAAATTTGTTTTGAATGTGGGCAATATGGACATGAATAGGAATCGTGCCCCAAGAAGCGCGTTCCGGATCCAACCGAGGAAGATTTACGCGTCGCGCATGTACCACAATCGAGGCTTCCCATTTAACAACAGCGCCCATAGATCTTCCAGACTATGGGCCTTGGATGATCGCGGCCAACAACCGAAGGCGAAGATCCCCGCCCCAACAAGGCCATAACACGACCTCTACTGGGAGAGGTAATGTCATGCGTAAGGGAGTCGATACCCTATTCGTCTAAGCTTTGGAGTTAGAGATAGACAATGGGTTGGGTTGGGTTTTGCCAAACCCAAACCAAAACTCATGGGTTTATCCGTGAAAAAAACCTGGGGTAAAACTCAATGGGTTTGAAAAACTCAAACCCAACTCAACCCGCTCGGTATCCGCGAGTTCATGGGTAGCCATGGGTTTTTGTCGTAAAAAATTTACAATAACAAGTTCCTATCAAAATAAAAGTCAAATATTAATATCTCAATACAAATTATCCATATATAAAACACCATTCTAGAAAATTCAAGCAAATCACAAATTAACCATACAAATTGTTCAACACCAATATAGATTACTCAAGAAAATTGAAGCAAATCACAAATTATCCATTAAACAACATGATTAATTGAAGCTTCTTCCTCCTTGTTAATTAAGCTTCTTCACTCTCCACTTGATAATATCAACTTCATTCTACACAATTAGAAAGAAAAAATTAGACATGTCTCCACAAACATAAAGAAGATTAGTTGCTTAGATTATTAAATATACCGAGAAAATTAATTATATGGCTGTGGAGCCTCCAAAGTCAACCTGGTTTGTATTTTTTGTCGGTCTAATTTGTATTTTTTGTACAGTTCATATGTTTGTAATGTTTGTAAATCTGTTTGTATGTTTTGTTGCTCTAGTTTGTACCGTTCGTATATTTGTATGGTTTGTACTGATTGTAAATCCGGTTTGTATACTTCGTAATTTTCCATAATACCTAAACTACCCCTGTTATTAATTAAATAGCCCTTCCCACTTTTTAACCATAAGATTAATGTGTCTAGATCTAAGGGCTGGGAGGGGCTTAGTCAAGTGACTAAGGGGCTAAGATCAGGTGACTAAGGGGGTTCCCTTAGTCACATGGCTAAGTGAATCTCAACTACTCAACCTCATTAAAATTTAAGGGCTCCTATTAATCCAATTTAATGAAAGGCACTATAGTAATTGCATGTTTATTTTTTACTTTTAATTATAAAATAAATAAAAAAATAAGCCAGCCGTCCTGTCTCCGTTTTTCGGCCCGTCATTTGCGCCGCCTCCGTCCAATTTCCAGGCAAGGAATTCCTGGGCAGGAGAATTCTTCTCCCCTCATCCGCCATTATTCCAGGGGAATTCCCGAGAGAGAGAGAGAGAGAGAGAGAGAGAGAGAGATTTTGTACTGTTAGTATGCTTTGTATTGTTTGTCGGTTTATTTTGTAATGTTTGTACGCTTTGTTATTTTGTAATGTTTGTCGGTTTTTTTTGTAATGTTTGTACGTTTTGTTATTTTGTAATGTTTGTCGGTTTTTTTTGTAATGTTTGTAAACTTTGTTATTTTTGTGTATCATGTTTATCATTTTTGTCAACCATGTTTGTAATGTTTTGTATGTCTAAAAAACACCCGGTTTGACTTTGGGAAGGAGCCCCTCTATATAGGGATGGAGCCTCCAAAGTCAACCCGAGTGTTTTTTCAGTTCGTATGGATTGTCGGTATAGTTTGTCATTTTTGTCCACCATGTTCGTACTGTTTGTATGTCTAAAAAACACCCGGTTTGACTTTGGGAAGGAGCCCCTCTATATAGGGATGGAGCCTCCAAAGTCAACCCGGGTGTTTTTTCAGTTCGTATGGATTGTCGGTATAGTTTGTCATTTTTGTCCACCATGTTCTTACTGTTTGTATGTCTAAAAATCACCCGGGTTGACTTTGGGAAGGAGCCCCTCTATATAGGGATGGAGCCTCCAAAGTCAACCCGATTGTTTTTTCTTTTTGTATGGTTTGTATTGTTTGTCAGTCTAGTTTGTATTGTTTGTACAGTTCATACGTTTGTAATGTTTGTAAATCTGTTTGTATGTTTTGTCGCTCTAGTTTGTACTGTTCGTATGTTTGTATGGTTTGTACTGATTCTAAGTCCGGTTTGTATACTTCGTAATCTTCCATAATACCCAAACTACCCCTGCCATTAATTAAATAGCTCTTCCCACTTTTTAACCATCAGATTGATGTGTCCAGATCTAAAGGCTGGAAGGGGCTTAGCCAAGTGACTAAGCACCCCCCTAGTCACCAGATCCGCTCTCGTGACTAAGCACCCCCTTTAATCACCGGATCCTCTCTCGTGCATAACCCATGATTATTCACCCTATCTTGAGCCGGGTTTACAACCTTGATAAACTAAATAATTATTAATTAAAATAAAAAAGTTGCATTTTAGGTCAGGCCCGCAGGGGCGGGTAAACGGATTGTCTTTTGCATTTTCTCCCTCTCACTCGAAATTTCGAATCTCAAATTCTCAATTGGTCGGCAACACATACGCTCTCTCACAGGCCCTCTTCTCCTTCGTTTATCTCGCTGCCAGCATCTCACTGCCAGCATCTCATTGCGTCTAGGGTTGAAGAAGACCAAGTCCGAATGACGAATGTGGAGAATCCGCTTCAAGGATACGGTGGTCTCGCGCTCTTCCGTCGAACCTTTCCTTCTCTTCCGAAGGATTTTCGTTCCGACGATTTACTCTCCACTCACAACTTCTTGAAATCGCTGGTAATTCTCGTAATCTCTGTGTTCCTGCTGCTTTCCGTCTCCTTCTCTCTAATTATGTGATTTCGGAAGTCTCGTCGTCGCTCATCCTGCGGAAGCTACTGGTTCAGAATCTCTATCGCACGCTTTCTTTTACTTGTTGCTTGGAGAATTTTGTTTCTGCTTCGAGAGTTTTGGTTGGTTGGCGAGATGACCTTAGTTTAAACCTTTTGCGTTCCGCTTGCTGTGCATTTATTTGGAATTTCCAGCCAATCAAAGACCATAATAAGCTCGTAGAGCAGGCGAACATTATCCTAAGTGATCGTTGCGAGCTTCCAGCGGCGGATCCTGCTAAGGTTCCGCCGTCTGAAGACAACGGTGAAGCAGCTAGTAGTAAGCTTATGGAGAAACCTCGAGAGAGAAGGCCAGGGTTAGGGAGGAAGCGAGCTCGGTTCTCTTTGCTTCCAGATATCAGGTGTCTGCTCAATCGCTTGCTTTTGTTACTTGAACACGAAGCTATCTAAGTGCTGTTGTTGAGCCTCTGTGGTATATTTTGACAGTCAGCCTAGTATAAATTTGGAACCAACGTTGGACATTGACAAACATAAAGATCCAGAGGAGTTCTTCGCTGCTTTTGAAAGATTAGAAGGTAAGCTTGGCTCCTTTATTTATATCTTTTTCCCTCGGAGCACTTGTTGTAATTGGTTGTTTCTATTGGAAGATGATCTTACTCCGCTTGTTGTTTGCTGTTTCAAGATGCGAAAAAAGAAATAGCTAAGCAGACAGGTCATGTCCAAACTAGTTCGTATCAACAGGGTGCACCTTTGCCTGCGCGCCCTCGCCGACCTGGGATTCCGGGGTATTAACACTTCTTCCAACATCCCCCTCTTTAACCTTGTATTCAATGGTTGTGGAATTCCAATTTTCTGGAATAAATACTTATGCTATGTTTTTTATGAGACTTCACCAGGAGATCTAGGACTGCAAAATACATACATCTCTACCCTACAATGCAAGAAAATTCTGAAGCTGAACTGCTTAATCCATATCCTGGCGCCTCACAGCCAGTAGCAACAGATTCTAATGCTAAACTACAAGAGGGTACATTGGAAGAAAATGAACTTGGTGATGATTCTTCAGATGAAAAAGGACCATCTGGTAAGTTCATGATGAGAGGGAAACACGAAGCTCTGCTGGATTATTGGTTTTGATGAGCCCCTGGGCTACAAATTCCTTTCTTGATGCTTTTTTTTTTAATTATCATCATATAACTCATGGGATGAGTTGTGATCTCCATGTAGGTGCAGTAACGGAGCCCAGGGGCAAGGTCGATAAAGTTTTGGATGACTTGAGTGAGTTACTTTCTCAAGATTTTGAAGGCCTCGACGAGGATAAACCAGTTAGTTTGTTTGGTGAAAAGTTTCAGTTCAAGCCTTTACATATAGAGAAATTAAACCTCCCTGAGTTCCATGATATTCCAACGTTTGATTGGACATCTTCAAGAGCTGGAAACTTGAATAAGCCTAGGCGTCCACTGTCTGATATTGATAATATTTTGAAAGAGACGAAGGGTAGAAGTTTTATGAAACTTAAAAAAGGGGAAACTTCTGGTTCAAGTTTTGGTTCTGATTCTCTACCAAAAAGCCCTTTACCCTCATTAGCGCAGAAGTTGATATCACAGTCAGACCCACTGGTTGATCCATTTCCATTTTATGTCGACGACATTGGTTCATTACCTGAGACCAATGCTTCTCTCATGGGGGATGTCAACCAGGGTGATACTGCAAAGGAGTTGAATTGTGCTATGATTGATGAATGTGACCACACCGTTGGTGTTATCAGTTCACCTGTTATGGCAGATTTTACTGTTCCATCTAACAGAACAGCGGAGGATTTTATGACCACACTCAATTCTGATGAGGAGGATGGCCTCGACAATTTTTGCGCTGAGGTGGAGGGTGAGAACAAAGATGGAAATGGCAAAGAAGGGAATGCGAATTTAGAGTGCGGTACAACAAGCCAGATGGTGGAGGGTGAGAACAATGGTGGAAATGACAAAGCAGGAAATGAGAATTTAGATCAGTATGGTACAACAAACGTGATGGAGGAGACAGTGAGTGTTTCTTGTAGCCTGTCCTGGTACTCATTCATAAGTGCCATGTTCCTTGCATAAGTTGTTAATTTTGAAAACATGGTGTAGGAAACTGTGGACTCTGCTCAGCCTGGTGTAATCATTGAGGAAAATATTGCAACAGATCGCGTCTCTCAAACTGAGTTTGGTATGAAAATTTTCCTTTATTTGCTTCTGGTGCATTAGACTACAGAATCCTGTATATGATACACCATTACCAGTTTGTTGACATATATTATAGCCTGTTGCTACCTTTTTTTAGTTTGAATGGTTATCCATCAATGACAGCTTTTGTACTGAATTCACCACATATGTCTTCAGAATAAGATGGTGTCTTTGTACTCATCACTTCCTTAATGAAGGGAGAGTAGACTTGTGCACTAAAAACATTATTTTTTATCGTTGCTCTTACAGGTCAAAGCAGCTCTGTGGTAATGGACGACCATGAGACGACCGGATGTGCAACAATCCAAAGCAAGGGTCCAGAAGAAGACTTAGTCGATTCTTATGATGATCATAATGAGGTTTGTGGCTATCTGCTTACATTATTTTTTCCTCCTACTTTAGTTTATTAGTGATGTCTCATTTGTGACACAGTTACATGCATCATATAAGGCTAATTCAGTGAAATCAACTTCTGTTAGTACCAATCATGTTATCTGTTCAATTGGAAGCCACTATTTGATAGGTGAACTGACATCAAAGCAGGTATAGGAGAACAGTGACGTGACACTTATTTTCCAACTCATGCCTGTTCAACCTGCTCGCAATACTAGTACTTTTTGTCTTGGGTTGGGTTTTCAAATATTTTCACTGATGCATATGGTTGCTCTTATCTCCTGCAGAAAGTAAACTCTTTCAAGAAAAAATGGTTCATTTTCACTGATGCATATGGTTGCTGAGAGGATATAATCTTGATTTTAACTCTATGTGGCTAGTGCACCATACTGCCATGTAGTTTATGTTTTTTTAATAGAAATTTGTGCATTCTAAGTTAACAGATCACAGTTGTAATTTTATATGGCATGATCATCTTATTGTATGCACTACTGTAGGAAGTCCACTGAAAAATTTACTGTAGGCAACTTTGTTCTGGCAGCCGTGTAAGTTTACTTTTGGTGGACTTGCATGATTTATGGGAGTTTAGACGAGGTTTTCTGGATTCTCTATTTTGGTATAATGTGCTTTGTGAAAGAAATCAATGCCACCTTTTTTGCTTTTAAGTGATTTACTTTGTCTTTTCACTCTTTCATTTCTTGTAAGAGAGGTTATACTAAGTGATCATTGCTTCGGTCCAATTATAAGCTACTCGTCCTAAAATTTGTGGTGATTGTGTAGAATCATTCAGAGGAGCCTCGTGCAGTCATGATGAAGGAACCCATTAAAGGAAACACTAGGAAGCGCAAGAGCCGCAGTAACAAGTATATGACTAAGAAGCAAAGGCGTACAGGTATTTAACTGTGGGCCATACATATCTTTAATACATGATAGTTGCATGTTGGTTATGATTCCGTTATATCTGCATTTTGAACTGGTGCGTACTGTCACTTTTCTGGACCAGTAAGAAAATTACCATTTCTCAAATATGACCACTACTGACAAGTTTAACCTCCCAGCGGCAAGTTATTGATCTCTGGAAACTTTATCATTTCCACATGGTTTGGTCATTCTACTTGGTCTTGTATATTTTCCCTTCGTTGCATCTTACCGTAGATAGCCGTAAACATATGTCCTAAAGGCACGGCTCAGCAACAGCAAACCAAGTTGAATGTGTAGAATTAACTTGGTTACTTTTTGTTTTTTCTTTTCTGGTTTTCAAAATCTCTATCAAAACCTGTAGTTACCAAGAAGAGCGTGGTGGATGACTGTTCTAAAGCCAAACACACAGCTGAAGAGTCCAGCAAAATTGCTGCAGTAACTCATGAGCAGGTATAGTGTTATCTTGCCTTTTTTTCTTTTCACAGTCAATTATGTTTGTTAGACTTAACTTTATAGCGACTACCTCATCCGTGACCGAGAATCAATCATCAAAACACCAACTATATTATCTTCTTTTCTTGTGCTGGCAGCAGACTATTCAAGAGTCTCTGATGGCATCAGCAAATGAGCAAACCAGAGCGGCAACCCGTCCACTCAAGGGAAGAGAATCCCGATCATTCTCTCAAAGGAAAAGCCTCATAGGTGCTCTTTCAAAGCAGTGAAACTTAGCATCTCGCTTCACATTTTCTTCTCTTTTGGAAGAATGTAACAGAGTGGAATTTCCTTTTGCCTTGCAGGTGCTGGTTCTTCATATGCTACAGAGGGAGGGCTGAGGCGAAGCACGAGGATTAGGTCGAGACCTTTGGAGTTCTGGAATGGAGAACGGTTCCTGTATGGACGGGTTCATCAAAGTAAGTGTACAATCATCCGTTTACTTGTTGCTTACGTTTCCAGGGCAGCTTGTTAGAAACTAATTGTGAGCTAGGTTAACTACACCTACAAAGCTATATGTGTCGATTGATTCAAAGCTGCATTTACTTTGTGGATGTAGGTTTGGCTACCGTGATCGGGATCAAGTATCAGTCTCCGGGAAAAGATGAAGGGAAGAAGCCCATCTCGTTGAAGGTGAAGTCATTTGTCTCTGACGAATACCAGCATCTAGTTGACTTAGCTGCGCTGGGTTGAGCGAATTCAACCACAATGGTTTGGTGCCAGGGAGTTTGCCTCACTGTTTCCTGGTAGTGTTTTCATCTCTTGTTCATGAAGCTCTCCGTCTCCCTATTTGCCTACACCTCCGGTGTATTTGCTGTATTGCTCTCAGGAAGGAATTTGTTTGTGATGTGGTGACTGACTGTAAAGGTCAAAATGGAGGGTTGTAATGAGTATAGCTGGTGTACTGAGTCTGTTTTCAGTTCGAACGGAATGCACGACGGCCTTAGATATCGGACAAGCTCTATTGTGTTTAGGATTGTGGAGCTGTAGCTTATATTGAATGACACTACGGCCTCCATTAGTCCATTTATGTCATGAATCCACACTTCATTTTGATTGATTGGGAGTTGCAACAATATGGAGGGGGTAAATTGCAAGTTTGGACCCTAGAGCTGTTAAAATTTTTTACATTGCCACTAAAATTATTTAATTTTACTCTTACCACTAAGATTAGTTTAATAGTTCAAATTTGATCACTCTTCGTTAGTTTTTGTTAACTTTAGTGAGGTGGCAGTCAACTCTTATGGTTGATCGTTAAATACGTGATAAATGTTTGATGTGGTAGTCAACAATTACTAAAAAAATTATATGTTCAAAATTATTCTCCATTCATATAAGAGAAAACCCGACCGTCGATGACCATCGCCTGGTCTTTGTCTCCCCTGTTGAAATCTTGTCGCCCTTCCCTTTCCTTAGTTCCTAACCGCCATAGCCAGCCCATTCCAAGCTCCCAGCACCACCCGCCACATTGCCATCCCTCCCTCCTTATCCCTCAATTGTCCACAAAACAAATACGGGTAAATTGCAATTTTGGTCATTAGATTTATTAAAAACGTTCACATTTGATCATTAAAAATATTTAATTCTATTCGTGGTCACTAAAATTAGTTAAATGTTTCAAATTTGGTTACTCTCCGTCTAACTCAGTTATCTTTGTTTGACGTGGTAGTCAACTTTCAAAATTGACCGTTAGCTGAGTGACGTGACAATTAAAAAATAATAAATAAAATTTAATTTACCTTTTTACCATTTCCAACTCATTTTCACAATAAAATAAATAAAACAGGGAAATTATTATAATTAGGGATTTAATCCTTCCCCCTTGCCGGAGAAATACTCCCGGAAGCGGACAAAATGATGGCCGTCGCTTCACTCTCTCTTCTTTTCATCACTCTCCTCTTCTACTCCCATTAACTGGCCACCGGAGCAATTACTCCAGCTGAGAGAGAGCTCCGAACTTCTCGGAGGACAGGAAACCCTAACAAGCGATCAACAAGTGCTAAGAAGCCTCGATGCCGGCGGACCTGCCGTCCACAACGCCGGCAGGGGGAGACAAACCCCCGGATTCGGCTGCGGGGATACGACGGCCAGCGGAGCAGTCTTCATCGCCGAATGGAAAGAGCGCAAAGGAGGTTGTCCAGGTGAAAAAATGAGCTAGGGCTATTGATTTTGAAAAGGAAGCAGTGGAAGGTGGGGAGGATACAGCTGAGATGGAAATTGAAACCCAGAACTCTACTGGTTCGTATACAATGAAGGGAGGTTGGGGGAGACGTTGTGAAGTTCTACAACAGGACAACTGGTACGTTGCGGAATCCGATTCGGAGGACGTGGCGATGGCGGAGAAGGAGGAGGATGATGTCTTGGAAGAGGACAGTTTCGACCCAATAGTGCCCTACAATCCTATTCTCGGCGGCGGAAAAGATACGGTGGCGCAGGGAGTGGAGGTCTGCGTTGGTGGTTAAGGGACTTGCTAGACGTGTCTCTTTCATCCCATTGTCACGACGACTAAATTTTTTATGGGCAAAGCATGGGGAGTTACAGATTTCCGACATGAATAATGGGTGTTACCTTGTACGCTTTCGGAGTCAGAAGAACTATGAATATGCCACTATGGGTGGTTCATGGCTGCTTGGTGACACGTACCTAACAGTACATCGATGGTTCAAGGGGTTTAACCCATGGAAAACGGTTATCTCATCAACGATGGTATGGGTACAACTATCAGAGCTCCCGATCGAATTCATCAACAAGGAGGTAGTGATGCGCATAGCAGAGGCTATTGGAAAACCAGTGAGGGTTGACAGGGCGACGGAGTTGGGGCCAGGGGAAAGTTTGCTCGTGTCTGTGTGAAAGTAGATCTTACCCTGCCGCTCCTCTCACAATATAAAGTAGAAGGGATCACATACTTAATTCAATATGAGGGCATCGAATCCATTTGTACCAACTGCGGGCAGGGCCGTCCCATGATATTTGGAGGCCCTGTTCGAAAATTTAAAATGTGGCCCTAATTTTTTCCCCATAAATTTTATCAAAATTAAAAATTAGTAAATAATTATAAAAAATTACTTAAGTTCAGAAAAAGATTACATCAGAAATAAACGATCTCGTTTCCAGTTTGACCAAGAAAACAAGACCGAATTCTCATCCTTAGTAGGGAGGAAAGTAAATCTGGAAGGAAGGGAAAATGGATATAGCGCAAAAATTGAATGGAGAAATGAAAATAGTCTAAATTGATCAAGAGGTGGGTGCAGGGTTGTCTACTAGATCGTGGAGGCCCTATTTCAAAATCTAGACATGGTCCAAATCGACCTTTAACTATAATAAAACTAAAATGATTATAATAATATTATTCAAAATGTAATATCTTTCTATATTGTTTAAATTAAAATTATCTATTATTTTTCAGATTTTCGTATTCTCCGTGAGATCCTTTTCAATTGTTATTATAGCTAAAATTATCTATTAAACACATAATCATACTCATAATCAATCAATCATACACTAAAAATACAACCTACAATATACGATTGGTAACTAACAAATCTAAGTAGACGCCCCTAATATTCTGAGGCACTGTGCCGAAGGCGGGCCAACACACCCTCTTGGCCGGCCCTGACTGCGGGAGCTACGGGAAAGCAACCGCCAACTGCAGCTGCACCCAACATCAAGATATGGAAGAGGAATGCAGTGGTGAGGAGTTAGAGAAGACTGTCATAGATCCTACAAATGGCCAAACGTACGGGGATTGGATGACATTGAAGAGAAACGAGCGTATAACTGAGAGACGTGGGAGTGGAGGAAGACAGGAGGCGGTCAAAAGTGACTTGGGAAATCGCTTCCATGTTCTGGGAGAGGAGAAGCACGCCGAGAATGGGTTCGATTATGATATTGCTCCGGGGAAGGTGGGCATGAGTTCAAAGGCTAATGCGGATGCGGTGACACAAATGTCCCATGCACACAGCAAAGACCCCCATGCAAAGACGAAGGAATAAGTTTGAAGTGGAAAGCCACTAACAACCACTAAGGTGGCGGGGAGTAACAGTACTAAGGCAAATGAAAAAGAGGACATGGGCACTAAGGAAAGAACAGGGTAGGGAGGACTTGTAAATCAACAGACTCAACATAAACATAAACAACCAAATAAGAATAGTTCCCATGTAATGATATACGTGGATAGGGAGGACTCTGGCGTGGGTAAAGGGGATCTCTCAAACCCGAAACCACTGAACAGGGGCTTTGGTGGAAATGGAACGTCGAAAAGTAAGGAACGTGTAGCGGTGAAGAAACATATATACTAGCTGATGGTGGGGGAACCAACAATCCCCTTCAGTTGTTAGATGAGGCTGCTCAGCTACAACTGCCGTGGCTTGGGAAACACACGGACAGTTAGAGCTTTGAAGTCGCTCTTGCAACAGGTTTCCCCATAAGTCGTGTTCTTGATGGAGACTCGACAACTGGATGATGAAAATGAGGCGACAAGGAAGAGCATGGGTTTTACACATGGGGTGAGCTGGCCGTGCGATGTGTCTAGAGGAGGAAGAGCGTGGGGTTTGAGTGTTTGGTGGAAGGAAGAGGTGTCCTTAACATGTGTGGACGGAGATGCGCATTATATGGATACGAAGGTGGAAGAATCGGGTGGCATCATATGGAGATTTACTGGTATACATGGTTGGTTTGTGGGAGGGGAAAAGTACCAAACCTGGGATCTTATTCGAAGACTAGGTATGCAGTGGTCGGGTCCATGGCTGTGTGGAGGTGATTTTAACCAAATCACTTCGAATAATGAGAAGAAGGGCGGAAACTTAGTGCATGAACCAGATATGGCGGCATTTTCAGAGTGTCTTACGGAAGTGGGGCTACAGGATTTAGGATTCAGTGGTTACCCATATACTTGGGAAAATTGTAGAAGAAATGGCGGCTACATTGAAGAGAGCCTGGATCGCTTTGTTGCAAACCATGAATGGAGGGCGTGCTGGCGTAATGGGCAGGTTCTTCATTTTGACGCAACCCGGTCAGACCATCGGCCCGTGGCTTGCGACACGCTCGGGGAGGAAGATGAGGAAACACGATGGGGATGGTCCTTCCACTTTGAAGCTCAATGGACTAAGCACCCTGAGTGTGAGAACATGATAGCTACAGCGTGGGGCTCTGCCACCGGGAATGCTCTCATGAAATGTACTCAAGTGAAAGATTCTCTGGACGGGTGGAGCAGGGCGGCTTTCCCGAATTTCCGTAGACAGAAAGCGAGAATCAGAAGAGCGCTAAATGCTCTGGAGCGAAGGGAGAGGACGCCAGAAGTTCTTGATCAAAGGGCCAAGTTACAGCTTGAGATGGATGAGTTGGAGAGCGATGAGGAGCTCTACTGGCAGTAGCGATCAAGGGCCGACTGGTTACGAGAGGGTGACAAGAACACCAATTTCTTTCAAAGGAAAGCTTCAGCTAGACGTAAAAGAAATACAGTGAGGAAGTTGAAGGACTCTAGCGGACGATGGTGGAGTGGGGGTGACCAGGTTGCTATGTGCCTCACTGCATATTTTCGGGAGCTCTTCACGGTTGGCGCGCGACCGCCTGCTACTCCTGTTTTGGATTCAATTACACAGCGGGTTGGATTTGGGGCAAATGAGAGGCTGACCAAACCATTGACCAGGGAGGAACTTTTCTTTGCTTTTCGTCAAATGGGCAAGAGGAAAGCACTTGGTGATGATGGTTTTTAAGTTCTTTTCTTTCTGCGATACTGGCATATTATTGGTGATGATGTTACGTCTTTGATTTTGGGGATTTTTGAGACAGAGAGTATGCCCCCGGGACTAAACCATACTCTCATCGCACTTATCCCCAAGGTGAAGGAACCGGAGATGGCAAAGGATTTTCGACCCATTAGTTTGTGCAATGTCTTGTACAAGCTGTTAGCAAAAACCCTTCTGGAGGAAGTAATGCGTCGCAAGGGATTTGAAGAAAAGTGGATCCGGATGGTGATGTTGTGCGTTCGGTCGGTTACTTATGTAGTGCTCCTTAACGGAAACCGAACGAAGACTTTTTCACCTGGTAGAGGGCTGAGGAAAGGGGATCCCCTGTCCCCGTATCTTTTCCTACTGGTGGCAGAAGGCTTATCTTCCTATACACTGAAAGCAACCCGGGAGAAAAGGATTCACGGCCTAGAAGTCACTCGGGGCGCCCCGATGATCTCCCACCTCTTTTTTGCTGACGACTCTATCTTTTTTGATAGGGCCACAGTTCAAGAGAGCTTGGAGCTGCGACGAATCCTTACTGATTATGGGAAGGAATCCGTCCAGCTGGTGAGCGTGGAGAAGTCAGAGGTTATGTTTGGAGCCAATGTCCGCCCGCACCAGCGACTCCAAGTGGGTGCCATCCTGGGCATGCGTACTGTTGAAAAACATGACAAATACCTAGGGCTGGCAACGTAGGTGGGTCGATCTAAGAGGGAACTGTTTGCTTTCTTGAAAGAGAGAGTTCGGAGAAACTCTCGGGATGGAAGGAAAGAATTATGTCGGTGGCAGCAAGGGAGACTCTCATTAAGTCAGTCGCTCAAGCACAGATGACGTATGCAATGTCAGTCTTCAGAATTTCGGATGGAATTATTGATGACATCCATGGTATGATTATGCGTTTCTGGTGGGGTCAGAAGGGAGAGGAACCGAGAATCCACTGGATTGCGCGGGAAAAACTGATCGGTCCCAAGTTGGAGGGGGGGAATGGATTTTCGGGATCTTCGGGGTTTCAACACATCTTTGCTAGCGCGACAGCTATGGAACCTACATCAAAGACCATCATCTTTGATCGCCCATTTACTGCAAGCAAAGTATCATAAGCGTGAATCCATCCTTGATGCGAGGTTAGGCCACCGTCCTAGCTACGTATGGCGGAGTCTTCTAAGTGCACAGGAGTTTCTGGTATCGGGACTACGGTGGAGGATAGGGAGTGGTAACGATGTCAGGATTTGGGGTGATTGTTGGATTCCGGAGGCTCCGAATTAGGTTATACAGTCAGGCCCGATGGGACTACCAGTTGATACGACGGTTAGGGAATTGATCGATGAGGACATGGAGAGGTGGGATGATACAATAATCGAGAGCTGCTTCCCTACTGAGGTGGCAGAAAAAATTCGACAGATTCCTTTGCATGGATTGGTGGAATGTGATCGATTGATATGGGCGGAGAGTAAGGATGGAAAGTATACAACTAGGGATGGATATAGAAGCTGGCTAGCTAGCTTTCGCAGGGATAGAGCTCTTGGAGCAGTGGGGGAGGCGACCACGTGGAACAGAATCTGGTCGATGAATGTACCTCCAAAGGTCTGACACTTTTTATGGCGGTTTGTGAGAGACTCATTGGCGAGTGGTGACCATATTAGTGTTCGTAGTAAAAGACGCGGTGATGTGTGCCCGTTTTGTAATCTGAGAGAAACTCAGATCCATCTCTTCTACGAATGCTCTTGGGCGAGTCGCCTTTGGTGAGGAATTCCGGTGAGTCATTGCTTCTTGCTGCGGGGGGACCGAGCGTGCATGGAATGGGTGGCTAAAGTGGCCGAGAGCGTGGAGGCTGAGGAATTTGAAGATTGGGCAATGGTGCTATGAATGTTGTGGAAGGAACGTAATGCCCACTGTTTCAACGGTCAGAAGATGATAGAGGATGAGATCATTCTGCGTGCGCGAACTCTCCCAGACGAATATAGGCAGCAACAACCGAAGATGGAAGGAGAGCCACCTACTCAGAGAGTGCGGTAATGGGTGAGGCCAGAGGAGGGAAGAATCAAAGTGAACACAGATGTGGGTTTTTTCGGCGGAGGTACAAGTCTGGGGGTTGATATCCGGAACCACCATGGGCATTTCGTGTTGGCGGCAGCTAAGAAACTTCGTGGAACTGTATCACTGGAGATGGGTGAAGCGTTGGCAGCAGAGTTCGGGTTACAACTCGTCCGACAGTACCAGCTTTGTGACATGATCCTGGAGCTTGACAGCCTAACTATAGTAAAGGCGATTGAGGAAGCAGAGGAGAACTTGACGGAGCTGGGTGTAAATTGCCGTAACATTGTGAGATTAATGGATGGAGGTCGGCAAGGAATTGTTCGACATGTCCCCCGCGAAGCGAATGGTGCGACGCATGTTATGGCATATGCGGAGACTCAATGGGATTTGGCAGACGTTTGGTTTGATCGACCACCGATATTTTTGCTTGATAAATTTAAGCTTGATGATGTACTAGTCTCCATTGTTTAATGCTAGCTTTGCGCAGGTTACTATATATAAAAAAAAACTGGCCACCGGAGCGGCCATACCCAACAAGGGGCCAGAGGGCATTAGAGATCCATTTCCCCACCTCCTTCTTGTTAAAAGGTAATTTGCAATTATGATTTTTATCTACCTACAATCACATCAAGGGACAATTCCATATGCCATAATATTGGAACATGTAGTGTTCTACTACAAGTTTGACAAGATGAAAAGAGGGCATAACCACCAATGATGGATCTGAAATCATAACTCTCCATGGACAGCAAGTTGATAAGAAGTTGAAGACAATAATAATGGATGGATTAATTACATGGGCCTTGGTTGATTTATTGTAGAACATGTATATGTATAATGGTGGAAGAGACAAGGGCCATGTATATGGTTGTGCTCCATTATTAGTTTGTTATATTTCAATTATATAAATGTATATGTGTTATACGTATGGGAAGGAAGGAGGAAGAAGTGTCAGAGACACAAAAGAAGAATTCTCCCATGCATGTATGTATGTAAAGCAAGAGCCAAAACAATAAGGCCTTGTTTGTTTTGAGTGTTTCTTAAATTGAGTGATTAAACACCAAAAGTTTCCTTTGTGTTGATCCTATTTTTCCACCACAATTCCGCTAATACCCAACAAAATTGGTATCAGAGCTAATACCCTTCTATCCTCTAAAAAATCCCCAAATTTCTAGCCTACCCAATCCTCTCAAAAATCCATGGCAACAACTTCCTCAAACACCATGTTTGCTACCTCTTCTAATCAAATTCCCATTTTCGATGGAGAATTGTACGAGTACTGGAGTGCCCAAATGGAGCCAATTTTCATCTGTCAAGATCTGTGGGATATAGTCCAAGATGGCTATGAAAGTCCACAGGAAGATGATGAAGACTCGAAGAAACGATCAGGCAAGCAGACAAAGGAGTACAAGGAGAATGCCAAGCAAAATGCCAGCGCCTTGAGAATCATTCAGCAAGCAGTGAGCAAATCAATTTACCCCAGAATCTATGGCATCAAAAAGGCCAAAGAAGCTTGGGATGTCTTGCGTGAACAATTTCAAGGTTCTGAAAAGGCAATCTCTATCAGGCGCCAAAGTTTATGGCGACAGTTCGACAACTTGATGATGAAGGAAACCGACACCATCAAAGACTTCCATTCGCGTGTGGCGGAGACAGTCAACCAGATCAAAGCCACCGGTGATGTCATGGAAGAAAGAAAAATTGTGGAGAGAATTCTCCGCAGTTTATCATCAAAGTTCGAGCATATTGTTGCTGTCATTGAAGAAACCAAAGATCTGGCAAATCTACCAATTAGCGAGTTGATGGGCTCACTTGTAGCACACGATTAAGAATGAGCCGCTTCACCAAACCGCCACTGGAGCAAGCTTTCTCGTCAAAAGTCAACATGGCAGAAAGTAAATATGCCAAATCGGAGCAAGGCCAGAGAGGGGGAAACTCACAAGGAAGAGGAAGAGGAAGATCCAATTACAGAGGAAACAACAGACAAAATTATCAACAACAAAGATCGGGCTACACTGGCTCGAGTTGCATAATTTGCAAAAAGGCGGGTCATGCAACAAAAGACTGCAAATTCAAGTGCACCAAGTGCAGAATTCAGAACCACTCCCAGAGAGATTGCTGGTTCCAGAACAAGCAAGAAGATGGCGAGTCAAGCGGCACCAAAAATGAAGAAAGCAATATGGTGGCCTTGTCATGCTTGTATGGTGAGCAAAAATCACAGCTTCCCTGGATGGTGGATAGTGGTTGCAGTAACCACATGACTGGAGATCTGGAGTCCTTCACCGACATCGATGACAAATACCGCTCTCAAGTCAAATTGGGAGACGGGAAGAAGCTAAAAGTGGAAGGAAAAGGCACACTTGTTGTATGCACAGAAGAAGGCAACAAAACTCTCATTCGAGATGTTTTGTATGTTCCGGAGCTAACTCTCAATCTACTTAGCGTGGGACAACTGATGCTGAAAAATTACAAGCTATTGTTTGATAATGGCGTGTGCGAGATTATCAACAAAGCAGACAATTTCATGGTGGCCAAAGTCCCGATGACTTCCAACAGAATTTTCTCTCTTGCTATGTCACAAAATGGTGAAGTAGCATTCAAGAGTG